TTATCAACCTCAAACAGAAGCCGTTTGTTGTACAGTATTATCCCACTTAAAGCGTAACACTTGTCTATTTCGTTTTAACCTTTATATATAGTCTATGATTTTAACTTGGAGGCCACTATTAGCATCGTTAGTACCGGTGTAGCTACCACTCGCTTACACGCTAACCCAAGCCTTAACATTCATTACGTAGCTGATTAAAATCATTAACACATAAATAAAGTACTCAAATTTCACTTACCGCAAAACCGCATTCATACACCATCTGTTTTAACCGCAGACGAGTCACAATAGTCCGATATATAAGCATGAAGAACAAACAACCACGGCCGTCTTCAAGTTGCGTTCCCTGGATGAACTGACCAGGCAGAGTCTCTGTAGCTAGCTTCACGGAGCAGCTAGACCCTCCAGAAAAACGCGATTCTGCGATCGCAGAATTGACCCCATAATCAGCAAAATGGAGCAGTTTTTGAAAGGCTGCATATTTATCAAAAGGCCGCATAATCCCCGCATTTTTCCACACAAAGTTGAAAAACAAAAAAGAAAAAGTTAACTCGTCCTGACGAGTAGTGATGATGACGCGACGTCATCAGCCCGCGAATCACAGAAGGCAAACACCGTCGTGTGAACGTGTGGAATTCACACACTAAAATGAACAAATCGAATCCATCACATTACCCCCGAACATTTCTGCTAAAGACCGGGCAAAGCAGTACCCCGATGTCTTGCACGAAAGTGGGGGGAAACTGTTCTGCACCCCGTGCAACTGTGTGTTGGAGCATAGATAATAATTTATTATAGAAAACAACATTTAAATAGCACACCAAAAATAGTAGAGTAAGGAAATAGTAGTATACAATCTGTTCCCTTTTCTTCTTTGGGTGGGGTTCTTTATCTTGAAAACACCATCTTTTACGGTTTAGCACAAAATGAAACTGTTGCCGACAGTGAATTAGAATTTATTAGGTAAGTCTTGCAAGAATTACTACAAATTGTCATTATGGAAACATACATGAGTTCCATTTAAGTTTAAGTTACATTTTGTAAAAAAAACAAAAACATTTTGCTTGAATACATAAGTAAAACGTTTAAAACAGAAGCCATAACCGCAAAGCAGATAAAGAGAAGTATCACCAAGCCACTGCTGCAGAAAACACTCTGCCCTTTCAAATTCAACCTCTATAGCTATTATCGTATGAGTAGTAGTGGTGGTATGCATAGCTTGCCTGTACAGAGAGGGTACAGATGGTAATAATGGAAATAACGATCATGATGGAACCCAGGACAGTGGCTGAGATGTTGAGCCACTGAGCGGTGGAGCCGTAGTGTCGGGCTCCTTCCATGTCTCCAACCACCTTCCGGTCTCTGGCCTGAAAGGACCAAAAACACATACATTTTAAATGGATTCATAGATTTTCTAAAACTTAAATGCAATTACTTTATCTCTTTCCCCGTAAGAAATGTTCTGTCCGTAGTCCTTTTATAATTTCTTTTTTTACAACTTTTTAGTGTTTCTTTTAAAAAAGAATAAGTTCTAAGCCTACATCTTAAGTATTCAAGATTAACAATTCTGGTTCTGCAACTGCCTGCCAATAACAAAAACATTTTTTTGCATTATTCTTTAATTAATAGGCCATAAAATAATATTTCCCATGTATGAAACTCACCTTGATGGAGTAGATGAGGGCCGCCAGTCCGAGGCAGAAGGGGTTCGAGTAGAGAAAGCAGCAGAGGGACCAGATGATGTGGTCCTTGGGGGGCTCAGGGGGGACGCTCACAGTTGTGTACTGAACCACTGTAGATACTCCAGGCT